TCCCCCTCTGAATACACTGTGTTTATTTTACAGTACTGTTTTTTGTAATTAATATTTAGTTGATGTTCCAATATCTATCCACTGTGGGTGTGCTTTACTCTGGGCTCTTTAATCCTTTCCATTGCTCTCCCTTACACTTTACTTCCTTCCCCAGATTTTCAACAGATTTCAATACACATTCTCTGTCCTCTACTTTCATATCTTATGATATGCAACATTACTGATGTTCTGTCATTCTCTTTTCCTTTCCCTCTTTCCCAGAGTTTCATAGAGAAGTTACACTGTTACAAAGATGTTCTACTTCTGAGTTTATACATGAGAAGCTTGTTTTTGTATATAGGTTTAATCTTTGGATCTATCTTCCACGTGTTACAGAAAACAAGCAACTTTTGTATTTCTGATCCTGGCTAACTTCACTTACCATGATGTCCTCCAGTTGCATCCATTTACCTTCAAACACCATGCCATTATTCCTTTTGGCTGAGTAATGCTCCATTGTGTATATAAACCTCAATTTCATGATCCATTCATCAGTTGTAGGGTACCTGGGTTATTTCCAGCACTTAGCAATTATGAATAGTGCTGTGATGAACATCGGTGTACAGGTGTCTCTACTATATCCTGTCTTATGTTCTTTTGGGTAGATGTCCAGGAACAGTAGCACTGGTATCTCTAGCTGTTTGAGGAATCTCCAGACTGCTTTCCCTAATGGACTAATATACTAATTTGCATTCCCAGCAGCAGTGTATAATGGATCCTATTTTATCACATCCTTGACAGCATTTGTTGTTGTTACTACCCGTGATTATAGCCATTCCAACTTTGGTGAGATGAAATCAAAGTGTTGTTTTGATTTGCATTTCTTTTATAACCAGGGAAATTGAACACTTCATATATTTACTGGCCATTTGTACCTCTCCTTTGAGAATTTACTGTTTAATTCACATGTCCATTTCTTCATTTGGTGTTGGTTCTTTCATTCGGAGTTTTTTAGTTCCCTGTAGATTCTGGATATTAGTCTGTTATCAGATGAACAGCTGACAAAGATTTTGTCCTATTCTGGGGCTGTCTCTTGAGTCTGATGACTGTTTTCTCTTGGATGCTGAGCCTTTTGAGTTCTGTTTAGGAAGTCTTTCCCTATACCTATCTATTCCAGTGTATTTCCTATTGTTTCTTGGAGTTGTTTCAAATTTTTAGGTCATTTATTAAGGTTTTTGATCCAGGTTGAGTTGATTTTGGTACAGGGTGGAGGATAGGGATTTAGTTTCACTCTTTTACATGTGGATATCCAGTTTTCCTTGCAGCATTTGCTAAAAAGGCTGTCTTTTCTCCATTGTGTGTTTTGGGTTTGTTTGTTGAAGATCAGTAGGTTCTGGGTATGTAGGCTTCTGTCTGGGTCTTCTATTCTAATCCATTGATCTTTCTGTCTGATTTTGTGCCAATACCATGCTGTTTTTATTGTTATGGTTCTGTAGTATACTTTGAAGTCTGGTATTGTGATGCCTCCAGCATTGGATTTTTTGCTCGGAAGTGTTTTGTTTATTTGAGGTCTTTTGTGTATCCATATGTATTTCATGATTATTTATTCTATTTCTGTGCAGAATGTCATTTGTAGGATTGCAGTGAAAATGTAGATTGCTTTTGGTACAATGGCCATTTTTCACAATGTTGATTCTACCAATCCAAGAACATGGAAGTTCTTTCCATCTTCTGATGTCTTCTTCAGTGATTTATAGTTTTCATTGAAAAGGTCTTTGGTTGCTTTTATTAGATTTATGTTTTTGAGGCTGTAATAAATGGTATTGTTTCCCTGATTCCTTTTTCAGTCTGTACATTGTTGTTTAGAAAAGCTACTGATTTCTGTATGTTAATTTTGTATCCTGCTACTTTGCTGAAAGAGTTTATGATTTCTAGTAGTTTTTTGATCATGTTTTTGGGGTCTTTTAGGTATATTGTCTACAAATAGGGATAGTTTGACTTCTTCCTTCCCTATTTTAATTCCTTTTATTTCTTGCTCTTGTCTTATTGATCTAGCTAGAAATTCCACAAAACTGTATTGAATTGGAGTGGAGACAGCAGACAGCCCTGTCTCTCAATTCTTTTTAAACATATTTTTATAGTTTTGTCATGTTGCTCTAAAACAGGATTACATATTAATTTCAAGTTATGCCTATGTTAAGGTAATTATAATATCTATACTCTTTTGAGGCCTGAGCTATATTTTAAGTATTGCCCTGACGGTGTGCTGGACATTATTTAACAACAAAATACTTTGATAGAAATGATCATTATCTTCTTCTTGCTGATTGCATAAATTTCAGTAGTTAGGGAATTTAACCATCTTTACATACTTAATAAATTTTGGACCTTAGAGTTGGGTGTGATATCTTATGCCTATAAGCAGTGCTACTCAGGAAGTGGGATCAGGAGGATCATGATCCAAGAGACATCATGTCAAAAACTGAAGTCCTCTTTGAAAAATAACTTCAAAAATGGCTGTGTTTGTCACTTGAGTTTTATAGTGCATGTCTAGCAAGTACAAGTCCCTGAGTTCAAACACCAGTGTTCTCCCCACTTTTGTGAAGCTACCAGTATTTTTGATGGAAGCCTGTTTCTCTATTGTGTTAATGACAATATTCATTATAATGTTTCATAGTCATTAATGCTTCTAATGAAGAGATAATCTATGATTAAATCTTGCTCAAAACAGTGAGGTTAGCCAGGCTCAGAAACCAAAAATCATATGTTCTCCCTCATATGCAGGCTTTAGATCTAGTGCAAATGCAGCAATGCGGGTGGACTTGGGTCACATGATAAGGGGAGAGCACACACAGGAGGTATGAGGACAGGTAAGAAACACAAAACATGATAGTATTTGATGTCCTCACTGCAGAGGAACTACTACAGAAATTTTAAAGCGACAGAAGTCAATATGAGAAGGGGATCAGGAACTAGAAAAAAGGACAGTTAGAGATGAACCAACTTAGAATGTAACACATTTGTACACGGAAGCAATGCTAGGAATCTCTCTGTATAGCTATCCTTATCTCAACTAGCAAAAACTCTTTGTCTTTCTTATCATTGCTTATGTTTTCTCTTCAACAAAATTAGAGATAAGGGCAGAAGAGTTTCTGCCTGGAAGTGTGGAGGCATGGGGGGCAGAGGGAAGGGGCAGAAGATATTGGGGAGAAATGACCCAAACAAGGTATGCACATATGAATAAATGAGAAATAAATAACAAAAATCTTGCTCAAAACACATCTCAGAAAATTATTACCATATGTCTTCATAAAAGTTGGTTTTCTTTAGTAATGAATGTTATGAAAAGACACTTTTAAAAAAAATTACAGCTCTCCTGTCAATACATTACTGGAAACTGTGGGCAAATTTCAGTTTTGTACATTATGTTCCTTTTGCCCAAAATGTGTGTAATAAAATAAAGGTGCCATATGAGTCACAAAAACTTTGTTGGTAGATAATATATTTAGATAATTCAAATAAGTGGTTGACACTAATATTATTTAGAAAGTAGTGGTATGTAAATATTTTTCTTTTAACCATCAAAATACATCCTCAATCCTACAATATATTAATTCCATGACTGTTTTTCCTATGATATCCTCTGACTGGCTCATGCAATTGTCAATTCATGATAACATACCATTCTATCATTTATAATATAGTTATTACCTTTTCAAAAATCATTAATAAAGGTAATTTCCTTCAAGGAATATTAACTAAAACAAGTCACAAATTTTACCTGTTCAAAATGAAAGAGAAGAGATGATATATACTTACAGAGCCTTACCCAAATTAATGTCTATCTTGTAAGAATGTGGCAAGTATGAGGATAAAATACTCAGAAAAATATTAAGAATTTTAACTGTCAATTTAAACACAATTTTCCATAAATTATATAAATATATAAAAATCTATTTTGGGTATGTGGTTTCACTGATGGATTATTCTCCTGAAGAAAGAATATTGCAAGGAAAGCTTAAGATATCAAAGAAGACATACTTGGTAATATATTGCTTATCATGGTCAGAATGTATAGGGTATAAAAAGAAGTATGGGAAACATAGATAGGGAGGATAGCGGTTTAAGGCCAGCCCTGTCAAAAACTTAGTAAGACCCCAATCTCACCAAGGAGCCAGGCAGGGTGTTGTGCCCGGGTGATCCTTGACATGTGGGAGACACAGGTAGGATGATCACAGGTGTTTTGCCTCTAGCAAAAAGCAAGACCCTGCCTGGAAAATAACTAAAAGCCAAAAATGGTTGGAGATGTGATTCAAGTGAGAGAGCCCCTTGTCTTGGAAGTTCACAGCTTTGAGTTCAACCTCTGTATTGCCAAAAAACAAAAAAAGGAGTGGAGAGTAATTTGTTAGAATATGATATTAGGCACTGAAAATGATGGTTTGTATCATAAAGGAACACTTTTCAAATAAGAAAAAGTAATGTGATAGATAATACAAAAATATTTATCATGAATGAAAATGTACTTTTTACCGAATAGAGTTTTATTTACTTAACGGTACAATTTTTTATACAAAAACTCAGGAGAATTTGTCTTCTATAACTCTGTTCTTATCAATTTTGAAAGTTTGGATCAGATACTACATCAATCTATTGAATAAAAAATTGAGAATTAAATTTTCAAGATACAGAAGCTTTGGATCTGTAACTTCCTTTTTTAAATGTCTTTCCTAATTTTTATTTATTGTTTTATTTGTATACCTCTTACAAGTTTATTTATTGCTTATTTTTTCCCTTGCAAATTAAAAATAGTGCCGTTTGGAGACATGTGGGCATACCATATCGTTAACATTTGGAAGGGGGAGACAAATTGTGGATTATCACTTAAACTTGATTAAAACACAATTGTAATGAAGTAAAGCAAAGAAATTGGAGAATCCGTTCTGTTCATCTACCTTACCTTTTGCATTGTACGATCAGTATTGCACCTCTAAATTAATTTTTGGGTCACCCCTTCACTTTAGGACCTTCCATATTCCCTACTTCCTCTGCAGCGCTTCAACCATCACATCCGGGTCCCCCAGCCCCTTATATTACTTGCCTGCGCAGTTGCCGTGGACCATTAGGATAGCTCACATCGCTCGGCAATGCTAACACAAGAGCAGAAAGCCAGGAGAGGGTAAGGAAGTTCCAAATTTAAGTACGAAAGTGAGTTTGAGTGACAGAAGAGACAACGCAAAGCTAAATCATTTCGTTTAATGAGAAATACCCGAATTTTGATTTTTCTCTCAGGATTTAATTGGAAAATTTTAAATGTACGAGTAAATTGTACATTGTGTATGTGTGTATATATATATATATATATATATATATACAAATGTGTATATTTAATTAAATATTGTATATGTAATGTATGTAATGGGGATGTGTAAAGCCGTGTGTATGGGAAGGAGCTAGGGTTCGTTATGCTAAAAATACCCTTTATGTAGGGACCCTTAGAAAGTAAAGCCGGCAAAGAACCCGGATTTTGTTCTTGAGTACGGGGATGGGTTTAAAGTTTGTGGAGTCTGGGAAGGGAAAAAAGGTTGAAAACCTTTTTGTTGGAGTGAAAATCAGTCTTATTACTATTTTAACTCCTTACCCCTCCTGTGGTGGTTCACCTTTATTTTTTTTCCTTTGTTATATTTGGACAAGCAGTCTAGTCCTGGATTGATTGTTGGACGTATTGCCGGGAGCCATTTTGTTTCACTTACGCTTTTTTTTTCTTTTCCGGGACAACATAGAGTCACAATAGAAAAACAAAGGCAGGATATTCTGTCACTACAATTAAAAACTTGTCCTGTTACTCCAAGAGCAAAATCCTTACCTGCTTGTCTGAAATAACAAAACTTTAGGTATTTGTTATAATTTCTGTCAGTTACTTTAAACATTGTGGCCGAAGTTTACTTTTGCCTCATAAAGGCTACAATTTTCATTGCTTTTAGCAGTTAGCATTTTAAGTATGTAAACGTTTGGCAAACACAATTTTAAGCTGAGAGTATTACATATGTAATCATGATAAGGGGAAAAACTGGAAAATACGTAGCATTTTGTAAATGAATTTGTACATTTTGTAAAAATAATTGGGTTCAAAAAATGAATTTTTAAAATAACTTTTAACATATTTTTAGGTGAAAACCGACCGCTTTGAAAACTCAGATGACCATAAGTAATTCGTATTGCTTATTTTATATTGCTAAAACAATACATATGAAATGTTTTCACTTTGAAAATATAATTATGTGAGGAATGGATATGTTATTTAGCTTTACTCATTCCACTATAATATTGTGAACCATAAAGATGTATCATTTTTCAATGTAAATTTTTAAAAGTTACAACCTGAATATTCAACTCAAAAGGATTACAATAGTATTTTCCATTTCTTTTTTTTTTTGTGGTACTGGGGCTTGAACTCAGGGCCTTTACTGTTAGTCACTCCACCAGCCCTTTTTTGTGATGGATATTTTCCAGATAGGATCTCATGAACTATTTGCTTGGGCTGGCTTCAAATGACAATCCTCCTTATCTCTCCCTCCTGAGTAGACAGAATTACAGGTATGAGCCACAGGCACAGGGCCCATTTCATTTTACAACCGAGTTTTTTTTTAATCTGATACATATAGAAACCAGAACTTTGGCCTAATATGTCATTGCTACTTTTTGCCTTATGTATTAAAAGGTTTCAGTTTTTAGAAGTAAAAAACATTATCAGTCTATTTACAGTACTTTTCTTGAATTTTAAATGTAGTGTAAAAATTGGAACCATTTGGCCCACTTAACAGCAAAATGATGCAAGTTGTTCAGCCTGGAAAACTCTTCATAGGAGGCCTCAATGCAGAGACCAATGCAAAGTCTATTGAAGCAGTGTTTGGAAAATTTGGACACATACTAGAAGGTAATTGAAGTTAAGAATCAATCTATGTATCGTTCAAAGTAAATATAAAGTATAAAAATATTTTTTTATTGAAACTTTACATGACTAGGACTGTCATTTTCTGGGTTTAACATTTCCTTATTTTTACAAAAGCACTGATGCATGGGATGGGTAAAGTGTTGCCCTAAGCATCTCTTACTACTGAAGATAAAAACAATTAATATGCTGTGGGTGTTGGTGTGAAATGTGGTGAGAAAGGCTAACTGTGAAGTCTTTTACATATAATATTGAGAATACTAATATAATATGAAACAAAATTTTAGATTACATTTAAGATGATTTTTAAATGGTTGATGATAATGCTGTGTTTGTTGTATGAGAGCTTTGTGACAGATTGTTTAAGGACTGACAATTTTGTTGAATGGAAGTTTAACCTTTATGTTTACATAATTTAAAAGTTTACATGTATTACAGTTCTATTGATGAAGCATCGAGAAACGAAGAAGTCTAGAGGCTTTGCTTTTATTACTTTTGAAAGCCCTGCAGATGCTAAGGTAGCCAAAGAAATGAATGGAAAGGTAGGAATCTTTAATAATAATCTAGATCTGTTCAGCAAGTAAAGTATTTATAGATCTTTCCCATTTTTCTCCAGTGTTGCTTTTTCTTTTGGCAATAATGGGGATTGAACTAAGGGCCTTGTACTTTTTAAGTAGAGCTCTGCATCTTGAGCCCCTTTGTGAGCCCTTTTTGGTTGGTTATTTTTGAGATTAGTATTTCACTTTATGTCCAGACCAGCATGGACCATGATCCTCCTGTTAGTACTTGCACTTGTAGCTGGGATGACAGGCACCCACTACCACTGCACCCAGCCATTGGTTGAGATGTGGTCTTGTGGATTTTTACCCAGAATGGACTTAAACTGAGATCCTCCCAATCTCTGTATACCAAGAAGCAGGGATTCAGGTTTGAGACACCATGCCTGGCCATTTTTCTACAAATTTTAAGTTGGCAAAATGCCATATAACTACAATTATTTACCCATGGTTCTTTTTTGTTACATAATCACTCAAAAATTGTTGGAAGGAGATTGAAACACCATATTAATTAACGTACATTATACTTAATTTTGTTAGTATTCCAGTGTAAATGTGACTAGGTTGTTAGCCTCCAAAAAACTGCTAAACTTTAGAAGAAAACCCCACAAGAATAGTAGAAGAAATAGGATAGTGTTTGCAAAAAAACCCAAAAAGTGCTATTTCAGTTCATGGAAGTATTTCTGTGGAATAAAAAGCCTAGAAAGACATACAAGAAGGAACAGTTAATTCCTACTTTTACAGGAATAATAGTTTTGATTCAAATTCCAAAAGATATAATGCATTTATGCTCACTCTATCATATATTTGTTCATTGTTGAATTACCTTCAGCAAGTTTAAACTTTCTTTATTGTGATCCATGGATGCTAATTGCCTTTATTTCTGAAATGTAATGTTAAACTCTTGATACATGAACACAGTATTTTCTTCGTGTTTTACTTTCATGTTAAAGTTTTAAAGAAACTTAACAGTGAGATTTGGCTCACAGTTTCCATTAGGTATAAACACATGAAGAATAATTATTAGTAATCCAATTTCCCTCTAAAGTCTTCAGTTGAACTGATGATTTAATCAGTGCTTAATCACTGAACACTTTTATTATATAGAAAGATCAAGAAATTTTAACTGACTCCTGAATACTGAACCGACATAGCCACTCCAAATCTTCAGAAAACATTTAGGCCAGAAATAGCAAATGAAGCTCCACGGCTGGCCTATATGGCAGTAGATATTGGGAGAATATAAATATTTACCTGCGGTCTTAGTGAGGATTTGGTATGTTTCAAAAGTAATAAGCCAACAGAGTGGAACAGTTACCTGAATTAGGTTTTAAAAATCACTTTGACCTCCAGAAAAAGAAATCAATAGAAATTTATCATGAGATGATTTAGGACATTGACATATTTCTCAGAAATAAAAACAGGAAATACTGTATTAAAGAAGTACTTTGATAATTACACATATGTAAAACAAAAGGTGAAATGAGTCAGGCAGAAAATTCTAAATGAGACCAAGTAAAGATCCTACTTAAAGAATAAAATTATTAGAACTAGAGTAGGTAGTGAATAGGAAATCATACTGGGGGACTTCTCCTCTCTTAAATTTTAACATACAAATAGTGAAACAGAATGAATAGCATGAGGAATAATTTTGTGTAACTGTCTAAAATTTTATGTATGTAGCAGGTATATAAAGATTAAGATTTATGTATTATAAAATATATCACAGTGAGGTTTTAATTTTACTTTTAAATGTGAGAGACATTTCAAGAAATGGTAGTAATGCACATTTTGGTGCACAGTGGATTGTGAAGCACGTATTCATTTAAGAGGAAAGTGTTTACTTTTGGAAAAACCTAAAACTTGAGTGTTGTTGCAATAAAAATAGGAATATATTGAAGAATTTAAGTTAAATTCGATGGTATTGATGATGTACTTGATCTTTTTAGTGTTTGGATGGAAAAACAAAGTAGAGCAAGCCAAGAAGAAACCATCTTTTGAAAGTCATGGTAGGCACAAACTGCCACCTCTTTCAAGAACTAAAGTCCCCCAAAGAAGTCTGAGGTGTGGAAGAGGAGGAAGTGGTACACCAAGAGGTCGTTCTTCACGTGAAGGGTGCTTGGGTAATATCTTAAGATTCAAGGATGCAAACATAGGATCAAAAACCAGTAAGTTCACATAGTTAGAATTATTTCTGTTTACTTCCCTATAAGAAAAGGTTAATTTTATTGATAATAAAAATTATTTTTAAGTGCTGGAATTACAAGAATGATTGGTTTCTCTTAAATATTTTTAAAATCCTAATCACCTTGCAACAAAATAGTGTAAACTAAATACTGTTGTTGCTAGTAATATTACTTGCCTTTACTCATTCAACAAGTTTTGTGTGGAATTCATTATTATTATTTATTTATTTTTTTTGGTACTGGCTTTTCACTCAGGGCCTTCATCTTGAGCCACTTCACCAGCTCTATTTTTGTGAAGGGTTTTTTCTAGATAGGGTCTCTTAGAACTATTTGTCCGGACTGGCTTCGATCCACGATCCTTCTGATCTCTGCCTCCTGAATAAATAGGATTACAGGTCTGAGCCACCGGTGCCAAGCTGGAACTCATTTCTATTGCTCATACTTTTCAGTTTTTCACTTTGAGCCCAGAACTTCAAATGAGTTTCATCGTAAAATATTAACAGAAATTAAAAAGCACAGCAAAAATAAATAAAAGTCATTAACAATGCTCAAAGGTAAAGAAATAAATAATATTGTAGGGTGGCTCATGAAATACTTGTTTTTGGAAATGTGTGTGCAAACCTATTCCTATGTCATTTTGGTTACAATTTGTATATGAGCTTGAGGCTTGAAAATTTGCTTCCTGAGATTATCTAGAACTTCTCAAGAGTGTCTCTGATTCTGGAAGACAATTTAAAAAGTCACTATTTCATTAATACGCATCTTTGTTGTAAGAATGAGAAGGGTGAGTCAGTAAAAACTGGTGTTAATGTACTATTTTCAGAGATGCCATTCTGTACTGGATAGGAAAAGGAATACAGTTTTATTTTTTAGAAGAAACTGTTGAAAATTATTTGAAACTTTTACTTGTAACCACTGTTAAACATTAGATCTAATTTTTAAGGGAATTTGTGTCAAATATTTAGCTGTTTTCATAATCAAATTTATAATTCAGTGGATGTAATTTTCTAAAGTAGAATTACAGAGTTGAAGACAATGAAAGTTGCCAATTAATATTCTGCCATATATGAGAATATAATCTTCCTAGGAAATTGGAATATAAATATGTTTCTAGTTATAAAAATTATTTTTCATTATTTAGCATATATTTCTTAAATGCTCTTAAAAGTTAACAGAACTTAAGTCAATTAGTATTATTGTATAAATTGTAAAAAGTGTAAGTCTGTTTTCACATTATACTGACAGTTCAGACTTCTAATGGAAATCTCCTTGAGTTTTGGATGATATTTGGGTGTAGGCTTGTGTATTTGGGGTTTTGTCAGTAGGATGTTTTAAAAAAAGATTGTTTGACACGACACTTACATAAAGAATGCTTAATTCTGTTTCTCCCAATACTTAACTGTTTTCACCTTACCTGGACTTTAACTATAATTAAATTACAAGGTTTAACTCCTACTTTACTCTCCAGTTCTCCCCACACCTCTTTCACACCAATACAAAATGAGTATTTTTGAGTACTTTTCTGAGTTTTACAAACTTACTTTTGAATTACACAAACATAAGTATTTGAATTTTATGATAAAACATACTTTTAAATCTGTCAGTTTTGACAAATACCTTATTCTTAGTACCAAAATATTTTAACAGCAATTTATAAGTATTAACTAAACATTGGCTATTAAAATATTGATACTACTTAACTAAGAATATTGTGTTTTCAATACAGATGATGGTGGATATACTCTTAATCTCAGAAGAAGAAGTCTGCTGTCTTTGAAACACTACATAAAGAAAAGCCGAAGCTGTGGGGGAGAGGCCCAGAGAGAGAATGGAAGGGAGATAGGTTGCTGTGAGGTGCTTAGAGTCCCCAGCAGACTTACTACAGACTTAGCAGGATAAATAAATAACTAAATAGATAGATAAATAGATAAGTGCCCCTGAACTGAGGAATGGATGGCGAAGGCTGGAATGTGACTGTGTTGCTAGGGAGAGGTGAGAAAGGGGAAACCGGAGCATGGGCAAGCAGGCTGCTGATTGGCTGGCGCCCGGAACGCGCAACAGGGCTAGAGCGTGGCAGGTAAGAGTTTCTTCAGTCAGTCGCTGGCCAGCCGGGGCAGCGACTGGGCCTGCTAAGAGTCGCTCTGCCTCGACTGAGGGTCCCAAGGCGGAGCGGCGGCGCCTGCGCGGTGCGGCCCCAGAGCCACCGGTGGTGGTTCCCAGCCTGGCTGTGAAGATGGCGGACCGCGCTGTCGCCAGCGCCAACGGCAGCTCATCCTTGCGGGGTACACAGGAACGAATGGGTAAGTGGGCCTGCGGCTCCCGAGGGGACTTGGGCCTTCGAGGGAGGCGGGGTTCCCACTGCCCCCGGGCCAGCTGGAGCAGCATGGCCGGCGTCAGAAAACTTTTCTCTGGAGTCGCCTTGGTCCTCCCTCATCCCGCGGGATTGTCCTGGGATGGGACAGTGGGGAGGTTGGGAGGGGGCGGGAGGGGAAACGGCCGGCCAGCGCTTCCAACGGCCAAACCGCCGATGCCGGTGGCCAAACTGTCCGTGCCAACGGCCAAACTGCCGATGCCAACGGGCGAACCCCCGCGGGCGGGGCTGGAACTCGGGGCCCCGCGTGTGGCCCCGAGTCACGCCAGCTGTTAAAGGGCAACGGACGTTCTGCTGCCCGGGATACCGCGCGCCAGGGCGGAGCTTCCAGGATTGGAAAGTTTGAGGTTTGCCCCAACCTGGGACGGGACGCTGCACCCTCCTTGTCAAGGTTCAGGGAGGATGGAGCAGGGGATGGGGATGCTTTGAAAGGTGACATGAAACTTGGCTCTGTGCTGATCTCCTGATTAGCATGCTGTAGCACTTGACTTCCCCCAAGATGTCACCTTCCTTGGGTCATCTTGCAGGCCCTAGGTTGAACTAAAGGAGAATCAGCACTTCAGAGTGCTTTCTCTTCCACACGTCTCATCGCCAGAGTACCCCCCAGCCCCCACCAAAAAATCTCGTTAATCGTATCAAAGTTTGCAGCCCTTCCTTTAGGAGATTGCGCTGGACACCTGGGCAAGGAAGTATTTCTTGCCCAAGTAAGGAAGATTGTAGCCTGCTTTGAAGACTCTCTCTCCCACCTATGCACTAGAATACATGATTTCTATTGACTTCTGTTGAAATCCTTAGGGACTTTTGCATGTGTAATTGGCAAGGTAGTTTAGATTCACTGAGATTGGGTGGCCATATGTTACTAAAAATAGGAATCAGTTCTCCAAAGAAGGTGTCAGAAGCAAACAAACGGTTCCATAGGGGAAAATCAGTACTCCTGCTTGTAGCTTATTCATCTAGAGAGATAGAGTTTGCAATAAATTGTTGTATTCTTTGTTAATACCTAAGACCTTCTGATCTTAGTTTATTTCAGTGATTGAAATTAACCTGTACTCTTGAATTTACAGCATTTCAAAATAAAAACATAAAAGCCATGCAAAACAAAAAAAGGCTTAACTCAAAACCCTCCTTTACATTCTTGCCTCTCCTTCTACATTCAGAATTGAAAATATCCCATGTTAGACTGGAACAGAACTCCATCTTGATTAAAACTGCCCTCATGGTCTCAGCATTTTCCTGAAGGGGTCAAGAAGACAACCTTTACTAGGTCAGTTTCATCTCCTGTGGAGATCCTGGCTGATGAGTTAAAACAGTGTCCATTTATATGCATATGCATTAATATATACATTAGATATATTCGTGATATAAATGTATGGATATGTTTAGTTATGTTTCCTGTGCACTGGTTGTAGCATACCAAAGAAATGTGCTGGTGGAGTGACTGAAGTGATAGAACACCTGCCTAGCAAGGGTGAGGCCCTGAGGCCCTGAGTTCGAACTCCAGTGCTGCCAAAAAAAAAAAAAAGAAAAGAAAAGGAATTCCAAAGAAATAGGCTTCTTTCAACAAACACGTTTTTTCCTATTTTTATACAGAACTTTTTTTTCAGTACTGAGGCTTGAACTCAGGGCCTATACCTTGAGCCACTCCACCAGCCGTTTTTTGTGATAGATTTTTTTCAAGATAGGGTCTCACAAACTATTTCCCCGGGCTGATTTCGAACCATGATCCTCCTGATATCTGCCTCCTGAGTGGCTAGGATTGCAGGCGTGAACCACCAGTGCCTAGCCAGAATTGTTTTAAAATACACTTTGAGTATTTCAACCAGATGAGCATAAGAAAGTTTGCTATTGACTTGTCACCTTTCCCTTCTTGTTTTTCTAAATTCACACATGATTTCTCAGCCTAGAATAAATTATGTAAAAAATACTTTGTACACATTCAGGGAAAGCTACTGAGATTGACAGCCAGATTCTCATAGAGTTTAGAGCTGGAGAACCTGTAAGGTTAGAAAATCTTGAACAGCTTCTACAAGTGGAAGGTCTACTGTAATGGCCAGCTGAATATTCTTTCCAAGTTGCATGTCTACTGTAATGGACAGCTATATATATTCTTTCCAAGTGGTCACTCATTGTAGATAGCTGGAAGTGGTAGAAAATTGTCCCCAGTTTTTATTATCAATTCCAAAGACATGCTGAGAGGTCTTCTGGAAGTATCTGTCAGCCTTGTGACTTTGTTGTTATTTTAGACAAAATTCCATGAACTCACCTATTTTTGTGGTTTCCCGATTGCATATTTCTTTGTTTTCCTATTAGTTTCTTTCTTAATGCTTTACTATCTCAACTCAAGTTGCTTTTTATTGTACAACTAAGATGTGGTGCCACTACTTGCTACCTATGTGATCTGAGAAAGATAGGTTTAGCTTCAGTTTTCTCATTGCTTTAAAACCATTAGCAAGGCTATGCCTTTTCTTTTCTCTGTTTCTTCTTTTTGTGGTGCTGAGGATTGAACTGGGCCTTGGCTGGAGTATGCTAAGTGTGCACTTCCCCAACTGAGCTATATCCGCAGCCCTCCAAAAGTTCCATTCTGATGCACAGTGAAGATGGAAGGAGAACCAGTATTTGGACATGTGACCATTCTAGGTAGAAAAATGTCAAGCAAACAAATATAAACTATACCAAAGTGCTAACACACATCTCTTGTAAACAGGCAGAAAAATGATAAAGTTCAATAAAAGTGATGTGTAAGATTAGTAGAGCACATTTTAGGGAAATGTAAGAAAAACTACAGGATAATGCACATGAGAGTTCTTAACTCTTTAATTGAACTCCTTAATTCCATGTATGGCTGCATCTAAAATGCCTCACAATCCTGGGCATCTCTGGGAAGGGCCTGGAGAAGAACACTGAAAAATCTGTTTTATCCTTGTTTAAGAGCATAGGAGATACGCCCCTATGCTATTGCACACAAGTCTGGTTACCACATATTAAGAAAAACTAAATTAACGGTTATGATAGGTAGTTAAAATAATTAAGGAAATGTGTGCTTGTGCGGCAGAGAACTAATGAAGCCTGAGATGTTAGTGGCCACTGAGAAAAGCTATCTGGGACTTATTTTACAGTGTAAGCTTGAAAGTGACATTACAATTGTTGCCATGGAGATCACCATTTCAAAAGAGAGAAATGATATTTTTTGTTCTCAGGGGTCTAACAGCTCAGATAAGTTATGACCCAGCTAAATTTGAAGATTAGACTCTTGTCAGCTTTCTTACTACTTCAACTACTGGCAGTTTCGTGTGCGCATTTAGTTCTCCTGCTTAGAAGTATGAAGGACAGGAGTGTGTATTTGACACAATTTAGCTGACCATAAAGACAGTGTCTCTCAAAATGTACAATTTTACCAGATTATTTAACGGTTTTATTAAATAGAAATAACCTGAGAAGTAGTTATGATGGGAATCATGAACCAAATTTGGGCTTCCTATGCCCCCGATTTAGGTGATTTATAAATGTAGTACTTAAAATTGGACCCAGTCTCTGAGGACCTCGCTGTTAATGCTTTGTTTCCAAATTTGGATCCATAAATTCTTAATTTCTTATCTTCTAAATTCCCAAATTAGGGTGAAACTTAACTTCTTTCTAATTCCTTGCCAGCTTGGTGAAAGTATCTACTCATCCACAAGTTTGTGCTGCCACTGCTATTAACAACTCTACTTGTCTTTGTGAGCACAAATACCTTGGCACTTCCACAGTAAGCACTTTTAGTTCCTCATGAAAGCATTGCTGAGCATCACAGGTACTCAGTATGTCTTTTTTGTTGACTCAGATTAAGTAGTCATGATGTTACCTTATAGAAGTGATCCAATCCTTTATTATCAGGACACATTTGGCTGTGGTTTGCCTACCCCTTGGGTTAGCAGTTTGTATTCTTAACATCTAATGCCTTTCCTTATCTTCCTGTATTCCAGTTGCTGTGTCTCAAACTGACGCAGAAGAAAAACGTCAAAGTCGCATTAGCTCCTTAGCTACTCAATCTCATAATGCAAGACCAGCTTTTAAACCAATGGGTATAATTTCTGTAATGCTTCGATTGATGTCAAATTGTTGTATCTTTAAAATTCGATATCGTATTAACATCTAACTATATTCTCTTTGTAGTAACCGATAGCTCTGTTCTTAAAAACGACATGAAGCAAAGATTAGCAAAAGAACGTAGACAAGAAAGAAAACGACAAGAGGAAGGTATATTTTGTTTGTGTTTTGTCCATTTTTTTTAGTTTATTGTTTTACATTTACTCACGTGTATACAGTGTTTGGGTATATTTTAGAAGGTATATATTAGATGTTTTCCTTTAAATCAAAATGAATGAACTTTATGTAAACATTTCTGAATTGGTTTCCCTTGCTTTTCCTAGTGCTCAAACTTTTTCAAATGGAATATAAATAATCTTTGTTTTGATTGAGGAGAAAGACAAAGAGTACTGTATTGGAAGAGTATTTTACAACTGCGTAGATAATCTCCAGGTTTTCTTCAGGAAAAATTTGAATATAGGAAAACATGTACTTCCATGATTGGGTATACTACTACCTTCATTAATATAAAATCTGCGTGCTTAATACTGTCCCTATAGATGAGGATTGTGAAAGTAGTTTCCTAATAGAAGGAAGCAAAACATATATTCTGGCCATGTGTTTTTTAAGCCTGTATTTTAAAATATAGCATATTAATCTGGTGGAGTTTGACTTGATCTGAAGTCAGCAAAATTTTACATGAAAGAAAACATTTCTTGTTAATTTGGAATTTTAGTTTGGCCAGAATGAAGGTCATCTGGCTTGGACACTATAGTTCTTCAGAGTTAAATGAATACCTAGTGAAAAATGGTTCTGTGGTGGCCACCTGTGTTTACTTACATAATTAATCTTTAGTTACTAGCATAGACTGTATTGTTTTAAGAAAGAGAATGAGATAAAATAACCTGTTCCTTCTACGTGTATAATGTGTAAAACTTAAATATTTTCTTGGTTCTACACCTTGAAAATGTATTTGGAATATTTCAGCCAATAAAGAGATGCAACTCCTTGAGAAGGAACGGAAAGCAAAACTTCAGTTTGAAAAGCAACTGGAAGAAAAACAACGGAAGATAAAAGAGCAAAAAGAAAAGGATGAGCGAAGGAGACTATCTTCAGAAAAGAGAAAACAGAATTTAGAAGCTGAAACAGTGCGTACTTCTGCAGCCTGTCTGTCTCACTGCATTGCCTGTATCTGAAATACTTTTTTCTTAGCCCTTGTCCGCCTTTCCTGGCCCTTTGGAAAGGAGACAATCTTGATACTTCCTGTCTTTGTTTCCTTCCCCTCAGCATTAGAGGCACTCGCCCTGTCCTGGTAAGGTCCAGGAACATAGACCCACCTAACTGCCTTCCAGAAACAGAGCCCTGTCTACCTTCAGGATGTAGCTCACAGGATGCCTTTGGTCTAGGGTTTGCTCTGAGCTGTTCTCTCTGCCACCAAAAAGCATACATTGCTGTCCCATTGCCTAGAGGCTAAGGGCAGATCCCACTGCCTCCCTTCCCTGACTTGTCCCATCTGATTTTCTTCCACCTCTAATTGTCAGAGCACTTGCTGTCCTGTCTAGCTCTCCCTCCCTTCCCCTGTCCCTTCTGTTCCTGCCAGTCCCTTTCCTGACATAGTTAGCATTCACTCTCTTGTTTTGTGGCACTATTGCTGCCTTTTTCTCCCTCTTTTTTCTTTCTTTGGTATCTTGGGCATGCTATTATGAGGCAGTGGCTTCATTATGTCCTTTTTTTTCTCTTCTGTGTCCCTTCAGTTTCTTGTGTTATTTATTCTTGGCATCTGGCTATTCTGTATGATTTTCTCTTTTTGACACTACGTTTTTCTCTTGTAGGTCATTCCACTCCTTTACTCTGAATATGCTTGATTTCTTCTGAATCTGGCATGCTCTCTGTGATGCCATTCTCTCTGTCTAGTCCAGTTAATCTTAAGTGTCCCTAAATAGATCTGGGAGTGACTGACTGACACACAAAAACTTGTACTTGATAAAGAAGTTTGGCGAGGGGCATGTTGTCTGAACTGGAAAACTTATGGTAACCAATATAATGAATATATTAAAAGTATTGGCATTTATTTTTCAAAGGAGAAATATAGAGCTGCTGTTTCGCGTACTATGCAATGGAGTACTCGTTTTGATCAGCGATCAAAGAGATGTTCATGGGACGGTTCTACTGAGAACACTGAAAATAAAAATGGTAAATAATATGATTGCTAAATTTTAAGTTCATTAGTGTTCATATTTAAACATTGGCTTGCATTTTCAGGAAGGTTTTCATCTGTATACACTAAACAAAAATGCAATACACAGTAAATTTATATTTAGCTATGTCATATGCCAATGCAGAAGAAAAAGGTAAGATTTTATAATAGATTTTAACTCAGGATACCCTAAATCTTAAATTTATAATCACCATAAAGATGCCAAATAGTTACACAGCTTATCCAATGCATATTTTTTGAGGTACTAGAGATTGAACCAAGGACCTTGCACTTGCTAGACAAGTACTTTACCACTTGAGCCACAGCCCTTGTCCCTTTTATTGTTTTGTTTTTAGGATAAGGTCTCACTAATACTTTGTATAGGCTGGTCTTAAACTCTTGATCTTCTTGCCTCCACCTCCCAAGTAGCTGGGATTACAAGTGTGCACCAACACACCTGGCTCTCCTGTATATTTTTCTGAAAAAAAAAATAAACTGTCTACCTTCTTTACTATTGTCGCAATAGAAATTTCCCTGTACCTGAACATAATTCTACACATTTTCATAGAACACAAGTTAAATTTGTGTAGTTTGAAAGGAATGATCACTTGAGCCCCCAGGAGTTTGGGGCTAGTTAGGCAACAGAGTAAAACTCTGTCTTCAAAAATCAGTAAGTAAATACAAAGCAAATACCACTTTTGTGCCTTGTGAATTGAAAAAGCGTAGTAACAGGTTGAATTTTAAAATGTATGTTTTACATTATTAGATACGTTGGCATGTTTTGAGCAATGCTGACAGCTATAAAACTCTACTGCAATAAATGATACTGGGTGATACCATTTAAAGTGTAATTAATTGTAGCTGTGGTTATCCAAGTAAAAGAGAGTCTAAAAGTATTTTATAGTTGTCATATCTTGAAAAGGATTTCTGGGGCAAAAAGAACGTTTGTTTTGTTCAAATTTACATTGCTGTTTGTTCTCTTAAGACTCCTACAGTTTTAACAATGAGCTTGAAGGGTTTTTTATTTTGTTGCCAGTCTGAGTGCAACACATTTTCTCTTGTACTTGTCTGAGAGCAGCTGATCCTTTTACCACTCCATCCTCACTATGCTTTCCCAAAGCATTGGATTCATTCAGAGTTAATGTTAAGGAGATTTTTCCTAGCACCTTAGTTGTCATACAGCAAAAATTAATTTATTATTCACCAACTAAATCCTTTAGAAAAATCAGGTAATATTAATTACAATATCATGTATATGTGCTTTCATTTTAATATATCTCAATTGTTCCACAAGAGTTGACTATGTTTTACTATCTCATTACCTTCAGGAACTAACAAAGATTTAATATACTGAGTCAACAGTAGTGTGGTTTCATTAATGTGTCTACTTGCCATATTAATGAGACATGTAAGCAGAAGGGACAGGTGATGACTTTGAAGGTAGCAATTACTTAAATTGCACTGAAGGAGCAATTCCAAGTCATCACAATGTATTTTAATTTACAAGTCCCCGGAAGAGAAATTCTCTTTTAAACAGATATTCCTCAGCATCAAAGCTAGAATATGCCAAGTAAAATGGAAAAGTGTCTACATGAAGCAGGCTGTTTCCCTTATGAGTGGTTGGATTGCATAAGTTGTGACATCAGTATCAAATGCTAATGCTCATGTTTGTTTAAAAATAGTTATGACTAATTATAAATTACTTTTAGTATTAGACACAATGGCTTGTTGTGTAGTCCTAACATGGGAACTCTGGTGTTGTCAGATAATATCAGACATTTTCCCTCTGAATTTTTACCATTTTCTAACTTTTTTCCTTTTCAGAAAATGGAGTAAAGTAATTTTAAGTTTGGGGGTACACAAGATCTCTGTAATCTCTTGAAGTTAAATAAATTCTTACAAGCAGGGGTAGAGAAGATTAAAAATGTTTGATAAAATGAGTAGCTGACTCCCGAAATAATATATTTAAGTCATTTTTGAAAAGAAAAGTAATACTCCTTTGATTTAATCTTTAGGAAAAAGAGAACTTAAAAGAAGCTCATCTCTGAATAGAAAGGACAGAAGAGAGCGCTCTCATGGTGACAACCAGTATGTGAACAAGCCAGGTGATTATTTCTCAGTACAATTCATTTTTAAGCATGTTTATTAGCATATAATTAGTTGTACAGGGAGGTTTTATTGTGACACTATATACCGTATATGCTTACCATATATCTTGGTTAGATCTACCTCCTTCCTCCATTATTCTCCCAAATCCTGCCACTCCCTTCTTAAGACAATTTCAACAGGCTTCATTCTTATGTTCATACACATATACAAAGTACTTCGACCATATTCACCGTCCTTCACCCCTATGTTCGCTCGCCCCTCCCCCATTAATACCTACCTCTGCATAGGACCTGTTTTACATTCCTGTCCTTCGTTTTTTAAGTGTGTATTCATTGTTTAAAGGCTTTTCGTTGTGGTATTTCACACATGAATATATTATCTAAGTACATATCTTAAGTGGTGGCTTAAAAGTGTTATGTGGCCACACTTTGGAGAAAGCTTCACTCTTTTGCCTCTATGATCTTTTTCTTGTTTTCACTGCTTGAATTTTTATTCCCCCACATCTCCAATCCCCTCTGTTTTTCAACAGCTTTCAGTAAGTTGACTTGTGCCACCTTCATCACTAAAGAGAATGTACTTCAGCATTGTTCCCCCTACCTTTCTCTTTCCCTCTTCCCCCATCCCCCTCATCCCATAGACAGTCCCTCAAATACAGTCATGGCTGACTTTAGCACACTAAAGTGTTTGTTTAAAGTAATTTCTTTTCAACACCTTTTCCCTAGTACTACCCATTTACATGTGTTTCCTTGCTTTTGTTTCATACTGAGCCATTCACTTACCAGAAGACACTCTGCTTAATCGATTCAGGTTAATTCCTATTAGAACAAATGCCATTGTCAGAGGGCTCTTCGTAAACATGATAGACTTACTGGAGCAAAATATTTACAACAAAATTCATTTTTTTCCATTTTTGGCAGTATTGAGGTTGAACTCTGATCATCACTTTTGCTAGGCACACTCTATTGCTTGAGCCTCACCTCCAGACCTTTTTCCTCTGGTTATTCTTGAGACAGGGTCTTATTTTTTGCCCAGGCTGGCTTGAACCACAATCCTTCTGTTCTCTGCTTTTACACTTTCTGCCATATCTGGGATGACACACACATGGCACCACACTCAGCATTTTTTTCATTGAGATGGAGTCTCAAATGGCCTGAAACTGTGGTCTTCCTGATCTCAGCCTCCCAAGTAGCTAAGGTGACAGGTGTGAGCCACTGGTGCCTGGCAGCAACTCTGTTTTTGGTGTTGCTTCTGGTTCTGTACTGTGTCTGTGATGCATTTTCACTGAATACTTCCTGTGTTGTATGTAATTCCTGTGATTTGCTAATAGTCTCTTTTCTCTGTTCCTGTCTTATACTGTCATGGTATATTGTTTTTATCTTGTGAAATTTCTGACTTTATGGAATTTTCCTCTGTTCTCATTCAATTACAGTCATCAGCAATCATGTCCTTCGTTATATACAAGTGCCAATTCGTAGCCACAGCAGTGATGAATTGAAGACTTCCACCGTGCTTTCTATGTTAGGAGTCAAAATGAATCTTCACACAAAGTTAGATATGACTCCCCTGGAGAAAGCAGACACCCCTCTTGAAGCAAATATGAGCATATCCCCCAAAGCTAGCATGGCAATACCATCTAAGCAGTCAGAAGTGCCACCTGAAGTGATCGTGGAGGTGCCCCCCCAGGTGAACGTGGAGGCAGCCCCCAAAATGAACATAGAAGTGACCCCCAAGGAGAATGTGGAAATGCCTCCTCAGGGGAATACAGATGTGCAACCTGCTGTACACCCCATGGTGAGCATAGCTACTACTCCCATGGCTAGCATGGAATCCCCTGTGTTAAGCTTAGACTCATTGCCTTTGAGCGTGGAATCATCCCCATTGGTGAGTGTGGAGGCATCACCAGTGGTGAGTTTGGACACCTCCCCTGAGACCAGCATGGCTATATCTCCTGAAGTTGGCATAGACCCAGCTAGCATGGAAGCGTCCACTGAGACAAATGCGGATGAGACCAGTGTGGAAGTCCTACCCGAAGTTAATGTAGAAGAGAACTTGGAAGCTCATCTTGAGGGAAAAGCTGGAAGATCATCAGACGCAAGTATGAAAGGACCATCTAAGGATAGCATAACACCTCCTAAAGTGATTGTAGATGTGGCATCACAGACAAGTGTAGACATGCCATGCAAGGTGAGCATGAATGTGTATCATAGGCCAAAACAAGTCTCCAGAGGTTTGTCAGGTGCCTTGTAGTGACACATTTCCTAGTAACATATATGCATTTTAGCCAGGTCAGATTTTATAACATAAGTAACTTATTGTTTGTGGCATTCTGCACTCCAATTAATAAATTACTTCAGCTAATTAAAACTTCTCTGAAGTTTGTTGTACCAGCATTTCACCCCAGAGATGAAATATTAGGTAATATTAGTAAACTTTTAGTAGAAGATAGAAAACATAACAGCTTATGTGAACTGTTTCTAAATTCTTGAGGAAAAAGTTTTTGAGAAATGTTCTAACCCTTAATTAAGATTCAGAAGTTGAATTAGGTTTTGAAGTAAAAGATTTCCTTTAAATTAATTGTTTCTGTTCTCTACTGGAATTGTGTGATATAACTTCTTAGTCTAGAAGAAAGTATCTTTGTACTTGTTTTTCATGCACTAAAGGGAAATTGGGGGTTTAAGGAAGTAAAATTTTTTTATGTATGGTACTGGGGCTTGAACTGAGGGCCTTCACCTTGAGCCACTCCACCAGCCCTATTTTTGTGAAGGGTCTTTTGAGTAGGGTCTCCAAACTATTTGCCCAGGCTGGCTTCAAACCATGATCCTCGTGATCTCTGCCTTTTGAGTAGCTAGGATTACAGGCGTGAGCCACTGGCACCTGGCTATAATTGTCTTTTATGCAGAATATTTTTCTCCCCAAAAGAAAGCTAGCTACAGCAAAATAATTGCTAGTAATGTCTTACCTTATTGCACCAATCTGCTCAGAAACCAGAACCGAAAACACAGATTTCAAACCCTGTAATCAAAAAGCGTCCATCATCACACATACCTTGTTATAGATGGCCATCATCTGCCCGTGGGTGGCGTTCACCCTCTCCAGTATATACTACGTAAGTAGCCCATTTGCAACTAATTCCTGGTAGGTGCTTTCCCAAGACACATTTCATATCAGTGTCTCATAAGGGAAATAAATACTATGCGTATTTATTTTGTCTATTATAAAAATGCCCACATTACAATAATGTCATTACCTCATAGTATCAAAACATATTTTATGAAATCATATATTTAAAATAAATTAGCACACATTTGGTACTTTTTCTCAGCAAACAGAGTCAAAGGAACCATTCGTCATCACCTATTCCAGTTTTACCATCAATACCAGCACATACTTCTCTGTCGTACAAAATAACACCTGTCCAATGTACTGTATTTGTGCCAAATGCATTAGGTTCCATCAGAAAGAAGAGAAGAACAGCGTCTACGAGTAAATCTGAGGGTGATGTCCAAAAACAGGATCTGTGAAGGTAAGCTTATTTTAGCAACACAGAAGATCTTAAGGTACTTCGGGAATGGTCAGCTTCATTTCATTTCCCAACTGAGAGGACTTTAGGGAATGATCTTTATTTCAGATAAAGAGAATTGAACAACTCACTGGTCCACTGGACTGTTTCTTTTCTACTTGCTTGCCCTTGTCTGAACTGCTTACTCACCTACCCCTTTGCTTTTGGAAAATCCGTTTTGGGAACTGCTAGAAAAAGCACAGGTTGGATGAGAGGGTTTGTCTAGGTAATCCCCGTGGGCCTTTCCATTTCCAGTATTGCATGGTTCTTGCAGAGAGCACAGCTAGCTTATCATGGATGAACAGGTTTGAAGATGTAAGTCAGTTTCCATATATAGGCCATAACATGTGGTGTGCCTTGGTGTGTGCTGGATGTAAGTTCCCGAAAGTGTCACATTGCTTTTTTTTTTTCCTAGTTTGCCTATCACATGTATCCTTACACCTATAGACACTACTTAAATTCAAACCTCCTGGGGAATTTTACTTTTTTAAGGAATTCCACCTTGAATTCTTTGTCACAAATGATTTTATTACAAACTATTCATTCTTGATGTGTCTTAAAATTTTCATTGTCACACATTATTTAATTAAAACAAAGAAATCAGTTACCTAGACTAAAATATTATAATGTGCCTCCATGTCTTCACCTTATTTTCCTGATAGTGTTGGTTTCTTTTGTTACCTACATCTGACCACTTTATGATAACCAAATGTATATGCTGTTGTCAGAGTTCCGCTAAACAGTACTAAAAAGCATGCACAAGTCTTCACATGTATGCCAGTTATGTTTTGTTTAGTTGAGTAGGGCTTTTATTCTTCATTTGGACTTGGTATACCCTTGGCTTCCCCTATATTCAGTATATCTTAATCATTTTTCTGATATAATCATTTGATTCAGCTATCTCAAAATGGCCATCCTTGTTGCATTTTGGAACGAGATCTTGTTTCAAAGAAACAAAATGTTAATTCTGTCATCGGGGGTTGGCGTGTGATTTATAAATTTTGGCCTATGCATCATTTGGTTTTTTAATGTTTTCAGCTGTGTTGTACTTCCTTGTTGGACTGAGAGACAGTAAGTTCCCTAAAATAACTATCACATGTTTATTTAAACTGTTTCACATGTTTATTTATTATCAGTTGGTGCTTAAATAAACACATGTGTTTATTTAAACATGATCTTATAATAAATGCTCATTAGGAACCTCAAGGCTGGAAGAAGCCCCCAAAGTTTTGACCAAAAATCACCATGTCACTCATGAAGAAGAAGACAAGAAAGAAGACAAACCGCGTGACAAAATGGAATCTAGGTCAGTACAAAATCATCCTTTTTATGCTGTAACACTTTATTTTATTGTAGCCCAAATTTTGAAAATTTTCTCTCAGGTTGCAAATTCTCCAAGAGCAACTTGGTTTTTTTTCAGTGAGGATCAGAATCTCTCATTGCCTTCTAGACAAGTAAGGAAAGTATAGGCAGCATTTAAAGCCTTTGTAAGTGGCCGACCAAAGAGGACCCTGAGTCCTCCATACGTGTTCTTTTAGTTTTTGTACATGTGCCAATAATGTACATGTTCTAGGAGAAGGCATAGAGAGATTGAAATGACGTCCAGGGGTCTGTCTCTCAGCAATAGCACCTGAGTGACCACACATTTCTGTTCGCATTAACTGGGGTCAGCCCCTTACTTTACTTTTTTTAAAAAGTGTAAGTTCAGGATTTGTAACCCTGAAAATTATACTTACTCATGTTTTACCTTGGGTGCATTCCAGTGACCTTCATGACACCTGAATCTCATCAGGCCAGTGAGTCACTGCTGGAATGACATTGTATGGTCAGCAAATGTCATGTACAGCCAGCTATGTGCATTTAAACTTGAAAGAAAGGCTCTTCTGTCTTGAGGCCTATTTTGTCTTGGGCGCTATAATGTCATTCTCTGTTGACTGCCTGCAAGAAACACCTGTAGTACTGACTTTATTTTCAAGTATTAAGTGTTCTTTAAAATACAACCCTTTACTTCCCATACACTTTATGTGGGCTTGGAGAAAAGAGGATGTTTAGAATAGCAAGAAATTACAACTGGAAAACTATCACTCATTTCCTCGAGCACCGTTAGACCCACATCTAAGTTACCCATGTCTTCCCCGGGTGAGATTGGGTGTGAGATGCTGAGGGAATCTGACTGTAAAACAGATAAGGACTGATTATTTCTCTCTTGCATGTGTGTCCATGTATGTGTTTTTGACGGTGCAAAGTAGTCCAGTACTTGATAGAAATCTCTTTACATTCCCATGCATAGTTTCCCCTACTTAAAAAGGATGAATTAGTCCTATATAGTAACAACACAGACAATGTAGTGAATCGGTATAAGTTATGTTAGTACACACAAGCAATTTCGCTATAAACATTCACATACTGCTGCATGCTGTGTGTGTGTGTGTGTGTGTGTGTGTGCGTGTGTGTGTGTGTGTGACTAAAGTAAATACTAATTTCTCTATATGCTCTTGGTGTTACTAGGAAAGAAGACATGGCAGATGAAGAACCAGCAGAAGTACAAGATGAAGATGGATTTCAAGAACAAGGTTTAAAAATGAATAAAGAATTCCAGCCAGAAGATGATCACGGATTTCCCCAGGTTTGCTGGTTTGACATACTAACAGTGGATAAGAACCAGCAAATAAAGTTCAATTGAAACCCAAAGCAGCAATTGGTGTCTTTGAGCACATGTAGCATTCATGGCTGCATCTTTACCTTACAGTCTCACTGTTACCCAATACCACTGCAGGTCAATTTCAGCCACCCTTGGCAAAGTTCTGAAGTGTTTCTCAGGGGCAACACACAAAAGCAGAAAGCAGCAGATTATAGATTAGTAGTCCTATAGTTTAAAATCCTAATTGCTTACACAGACTAAATGTCCCAGGTCAGTTTTCCCCATTGTGCATTCTGTGATGCCACACAGGGCGTTCAATTATACTTTGCCTCCCCCAACAGGAGAGAAAGTGAGATATTACAAATGCCTTATCAAATTGACCACCAGGAATGGCTCACCCTTCTAAATCCAAACCTCTGGATAAATAAATCCCCAAGCTGAGTTCAGACTATACTCATTTTGAATTATTCCCGTAGCTCAATTTATTTTCTCAGTTTTCACGTATCATTCATCAAACTGCTTACAGGAAAGTTTGATAAGTGGTTGTACACACTTCAGGAAGTAACCTTTACAACTCCTCTGAGCTTTTGAGAAATGGAAGAATTTTGGATCCTGTTGCCTTGTAAAGGGATAGTTCTATAATCATTTACATTTAAAGAAAGGTGGTCTAATATGCATAATGATAACCATGACAACTGGAAGCTTCCAGTTAAAACTTAACCTCAGTCTTTACATTTTAACTAATGCTTTAAAAACTGATAATCCTCGACTATGATACATATATTGTATATATAGGAATCCTCAATCAAAATATTATCACTATTTAACTTTTTAAACTAATGTTCTCTGATGTCACTCAGATATACTGAGATTAAATGAAACCCACTAAAAACTATTAAAAAGGAGAAGGGAGGAGGGAAGGTGACTAAGACTGTAATATACATGAGGTGATTTTGACCACAATACATTACACACACGTTCTAAGTATCACAATGGGGTCCTTTTGCATAATTAACTTACACTAATAAAAATGTTTTAAAAATATTTTTACATAAATTTCCTAGAAAGGGGATACCAAAATAAAAAATCAGGAAGCTGTGGAGAAACACAAGAAGGGACATGAAAGAATCATGTTACAAAATTTGCAAGAAAGATTAGAAAGAAAAAAGCTACTCACTCACTGTCTTGGGGTCATTGTGTTGAACAATGTTGAGCACAAGATAACAGAACATGTTTTTGAAAAACACAAAGCAGATGTGTGTTATTAGCCCCTGACTGTTCTACTATATTCTCTTATCAAGGAGCTGACTTCTACACAGAATTGACCATTCCTCTCCTCATGGACTCTTAGTGGTTATTACAGCAGTGCCTCAACATGTCAAACCTTTGGGAACAGTGCTTCTTTGAACAGAGTACCTCCAGTCTGGTAGGGTTGTTGAAAGTTAGAGTTTCTTCTAAAGTAGACTGGAATTTGCAACTTCTATGTTCGAAAGAAGTGAAGGCCTCTGGTGGAGGGGGCGCAGGGGATGTGTAAGGTAGGGCCACATTTTGTGTAATTGATGTGACTAATCTGGGAGACCTGGCCCAAGTGAGGTGCCTCATGCCTTCCTGTTGCTGAGATGGCCAGGGAACCACCACCTTCTTCACCTGCCTCCTTTTCCCTCCGCTGCCCCGTCTTCTCTTTTTAGTGTCAAAATCTTCACTGGGTAGCACCGTTGAGGCACCATAGTTTCCTTAATGTCAGCTTCCGGAATGGTCTAAGACTAAGATCCTATTGAAATCTCTGCTTGGTTTGCAAAAATATGTGCTTAGTCTAAGTAATAAATTTTCATGTGTATGAAAATAGGAGTGAGAAGTTGTCATTTTGGGTGTTTGTGGTGTGATAGCAAGCACAGCTGCTGCCATTCACAGCATCTTATAGTTGAAACCTGGACTGGAAGGAGAAACCCAGCTGTTGCCCCAGGTCTTTCATTGTTTAAATCTGTGGTTTTGGAGCCATTTCAAACATTGTCCACCTTTGCAAAATGGAGATAATCAACTGCTCGAGTGCTACTGAGTTTTAACCTCTTTTCATGTTTGAATTTTTATTTCCCTTTAAATAGACACTTAAGAAAATCATGAAGCGGACGAGAGAGACAGATGGGAAGGTAATCTCCACACTCCGACCACCAGTGTGCAAGAATTCTTCTTGCTTCACATTCTTGCTAACTTTTTCACTTTTGCCAATCTGGTGATAATAAAATAAAGTGCATTCGCATTTCCCTGGTCGTTAAAAGGTTTGAGCGTGTTTTCCTGTCTCTAGCTCACTTTCGTGTTTCTCTCCAGTGAAATGCTTGCTTAGGTCTTTTTGCCCAAAACCTTTGAGTTGGTTTTTCTTTTTCTAACTTTCTTATAGTTCTTTGCATGTTCTTGATAATGCTCTGTTTTGGTCGTGTGTTGGACATATCTTCACTCAACTTGTGGCTTGTTTTATTATCATCTTATGCCGCTTAGAAGCTCCTGGTGCTAATGCTTTTGCATTTATTAACATTTTCTGATGACTAGCAAAGTCAAGGGCCTTTCTCATATGCTTACTGGCCATTTAGAGATCTACTTTGGTGACATGTCTTTTCAAGTCACTTGTCCATTTGCCTATTTTGTCACCTGCCTTTTAGAGTGTGTGTGTGTGTGTGTGTGTTTTACCCACTCTAGTTATGAGTCCTTTGTATATCTGTGGTACAGGGATCTTCTCCCATATTATAGTTAGCCTCACTCTCTTAATATCTTGTGATGATCCAGGAGTTCTTCATTTTAATGAGCCCCAATGTACCCTTGTTCGTTTATGGCAAATGCTTTGGGGGTCTGTTTCATAATTAATTGTTTTGCCCAACACCATGTCTTTTGATGGAGCACATGCATTCAAGAAGTGTTTTCTCTGGATTCTGTACTCTTTCTATTTTATATTACAGAACTGATTTTCTGGGGCCAGGGGTGTGGCTCAAGTGGGTAGAGCACCTGCCTAGCAAGCACAAAGCCCTGAGTTCAAACCCCCAGGACCACCAAAAAGAAAAAAAAACCTGATATTCTGCCTGTTTACAATTGCCAAGTTCTCATCATTCCTATATTTCTAAAGGAGCATGAGAATGTAGAATCAGAATGTGATTTCTGAAAAGTGCTGGGAGTCACCATGTCAAAGTTCATTTGCGACTGGAGGCGTGACTCAAGTGGTAGGGCACCTGACTTGCAAGCACAAAGCCCTGAGTTCAAGCCTCAGTCCCACCAAAAGAAAAAGCATACGATGAATGTATTTTGTATTCATATATGAAAATAAAAGAATGAAACCTGTTGAAATTGTTCTAAGAAAGGAGAGAAGGGGGAAGAGGGAGAATGATGGAGGAGGTAAATCTGAGATGTGTTGTAAGCACATATGTAAATATCACATGTATGCTTAAAAAAGTTCATTCAACTTGCGAAGCAGAGATGGCTCCTATAAACCTAGCTTCTCAGGAGGCAGAGATCAGGAGGATCATAGTTCAAAGACAGCTCCAGCAAATAGTTCAACAGACCCTATCACAAAATTATCCAACACGAGAAAGGGCTGGTGGAGTGGCTCAAGCCATAAAGTACCTGCCTAGCAAGTGTGAAGCCCTGTGTTCAAACCCCAGTACCACCAATATTAAACAGTTCACTTAAGACATTGGCTCAAAAAGTTTGGCCTCAAGCAACAGCCAAAGAACTTTTTAGCTCTTCACTGACTGGTCCCACCCTGGCTTTAATTAGGATTCCAAGCAGGCAGAAGACAAATTGGCGGTCCAAAGCTGAAGGCCCTTGGTCAGGGAAATTTTTCATTCTTGAATGTCTTAGCTGAAAGACAGAAGTAGGGTGACCTGCCCCTGTCCCCTGTATGTAGGTTCTTGGAGCCAGTTACAAATATTTGATTTTTTTACCTTTTATTTGAAATGCCAAAAGTCAGCCATCAAACCAATCTTTGCTTTTGTTTTGTGAGACAGGATCTCTTTGTGTAGCTCAAGCTGGCCTGGAACTCACTAAGTAGCCAAGGCTGGCCTTCAACTTGAGGTCACCCTGCCTCAGCATCCCAAGTGCTGAGATCACAGGCAGGTGCCACCACGCCCAGCTACCATCAGTCCAGTCTTCAACTTTGACCTCCTTGAATTCTAAGGCAGGATGATTAAATATTAGATATAATCACGATTTTCATTTTTAAACACAGGCTTCAGAAACATCTGACAAGGACACATCTGAAGAGGATGAGGCTGACGATGAGGATGAAATAGAGGGTGATGAAGACCCCCTTGATGAACTGTCTGCATCAGGTGTGCTTGCCACCAATGGTTCTGTTAGCCATCATTTAGGAACTGGACTGCCTAGGCTCATATTCAAAGCTCCTCCACTTCTGAGCTTTGTGGCTTGGGGCAGGTCACTTAACCTCTCTGTGCTTAGCTTTACTTTACCATCTGCAGAAGGGGAAGCTAATGTTGTCATGAGATTTCAGTGAGCTAAATCTGACTGATGGATAAGAATAGTGTCTGACATGTAGGAAACTCTCAAATATCAGCAGCAGCTGCTGTTATTTTATACATCATGCTAACAGACTGTTGGTGGCAGCTTTTTCTCAGTTGAATGTAGGGATTGCTGGCTTTTCATAGCTCAGAGTCTCAGAAAGCATCCATGATTGACTACAGGTGTAGTCTCATTAAGGAAATTGCAGTTGGGTCATGGCATGAGTGCCCTCTAAAACGTATTGTTGACTCCGTGTGAGTAGGAAGCACTTTATAGTAGAGGCAATTGCCTTTGAGAAAACACAGTTCATCCATCTTCATCCCATCAGCAGATGTTGAACAGGTAAGTCAGGTGTTGTACAAATGCTGGGGGATGAAAAGCCACAGCCTTCATCATCAAGGACCCATAGCCAGTGGGGAGACAGACATGTGGGCCAACAGTCATAGTGTCACAAGATTAAAAAGTTAAAAGAAGGTCAGTCAAAATACAGTGGGAACACAGTGGCAGGAGCCCCTGAGTCTGGGCCTATGAGGAGAGGTGAAGGTAGTAAGGAGCGTTTGAGGGGAGACCAAGCTCAGAGTCATGACTGGCTAGGCAGCAGTCGGGCAGGAGCAAGAAGTAAGAAGCAGCCCTGCCCTCTGGCCATCAGTCTTTCCCAGCAAAAGAGAGAGGACAGTTTCTTAAAGATGGTCACTTTGTGTATTGAGGCCCAGGTAAGTGTGTGTACAGGGCAGCATGGGGCCACAGCTCAAGTATATGGGCCTGGATCCCCAGAGTCCTGCCGGCCTAGTACTTCCTGCCTCAACAGGTACCTGTACCTCCCCCACCACACCCCACATCACCTCCAGATTACAGCTTTTGTTTTTTCTTGTATTTATTGTTGAAACTCCAGTTTCAATTTTGTTTTGTTTTCTTCCACAGGCATCCAACATAGAAATTCATCTTCCAAACCCAAGATGCCTTGTAAAAATGCCATGAGAAGACCTCAAAAGCTGGCGGTTTTACAAGCTGCAACCAGTGAGGGCGACTAGAATAAAAAAGCCTATTTTAACACTGATATGAAAGACAGCAGACAAAAGAGCACAAGATCCTCAAGGTGAGTCACTCAGCTCCTCATTTATCCACATAGGAGAGTTATAACTGACATTCTGAGAATTCTAAGCAGTATTATTTCTTGAGCCCTTACTTCACACGTAGCAAACACTGTGAGGCACTCAATTTAACAGAAACACACTGATGGCCTCCAACATCCTTCTACGATTTCTTCACTGCTTTAGAGTTTTCATTGTAGCAGTCTTCGACAAGTCTCTGGTTAAGCTTATGCCTACTCATTTTTTCTTTTTGAGGCTATGGTGAATGGGATTGTTTTCCTGACTTCTTTTTCAAACAAGTGCATTGTTGGTGTATAGAAAAGCTACGATTTTTACATCTTGCTTCCTTGGTGAAATTCCAGATCAGATCTCAGAGTCTAGAGGGCTTAGGATCTTTTAAGTATAGGATCATCAGCAAACAAGGATAGTTTGACTTCTTCCTTTCCTATTGAAGGACTAAAGGACGGACTGCAGGAGGTCCCATAAGGTGATAAGTGATGAAGGAGAAAATCTCTCCTTCCCAGGAAATCTCTGTCTGCACCTGAGAGACATCTCTGGACCCAGGCAATGCCAAAAAAGGCTATAAAACCCAATCCCCAACCTGACCCATGGGATCACTGGTTTCCGGGTTCCCCTGCATTCTCCAATATGCAGTCTTTCTCTTCTCTTCTCTACAAATAAAATCTTCCTGACCTCTGCTGTTGGAGTCCACCTGTGCTTTCTTCCTCAGAGCGGGCTCAAGAACCCTGAGCACCTGAAATTCCTGCATGTGTCATCCATGCATCACTATTTGTATTCCCTTTCTTTCTTTCCCTTTCCTTATCACTCTGGTGAAGAACTCAAACACTACATTGAAGGAAGAGTGGTGCTTGTGGCCAGCCTCAATTGCTCCTGGTTTTTCAGGAAATGCTCTGTTGTTCTGCATTTTGTGTAATATTGGCTCTAGGCCTGTCATCTGTATCCCACATTGTGCTTGGGTATGACCCTTCTATTACTAGTTTCTTCAGGTATTTTACATGAGAGGATGCTTGATTTTATTAGAGGCTTTTTCTATATCTGTGTAGGTGATTGCATGATTCTTGTCCTTGCTTCTGTTAGTATGCTGCATTGCATTTATCGATTTGTATATGTTGAACTATCCTTCAGTCGTGCAGCGAAGTCAGTTTACACATAATGTATGATATTTTCAATCTGCTGTTGAATTCAGTTTGAAAGTATTTTATGAAAGATTTTTGCATTGAAAATGAGGCACAGGCTAATGACATCGAAAACATATTCAATAAAATAATGGCAGTAATTTTCCCAAATCTTGGGAAAGATTCTCTGGAGGCTCCCTGAATTTCAATTGTTCCTTGTTTTCTGCTTGCCACAATAGTTCAGTCTCAAATAGTAGATAGTCTCTCAAGATGGCGAATGGCTATTCATTTTGGAGTAATTAGAATTCTAACCACATTATCTCTTTCCAGATCACATACAAAAAGAATACCCCAAACTGGAAAAGCTGCTCTCAGATCCACCATGAGCGTCAACACAAATCAGGAGTGGATGTGTGGCCAGGTAATTGACATTAGTCACAACACTGAAACACCTGCCACAAAGTCCACCCCTGATACATACAAACACAATGTGAACGATTCCATGGCATCTTGCTAAAGTACTCAGGCACCTTTAGACCATAAGATAAGGCACAAACATTTTCCAGCCCGTTTGGGTATGGCCTCATTCCATCATCACAGTATACAGTCTTTGGAGAAGAGGAAGAAGACCGTGGTGAGTCTACAAAACTGATGTAGAGGGCTCTTCCATTAAGTTAGTTTAGGGAGAATAGTTAACTCGAGTCTAATTTTTATGTCCCACATTTCCTGCCAGATATAAAAAATAAGTCCTTTTCAAAATCCAGATTCCTCTGAGCTCCTTGTCCTCTGGTGGCCTGACAAACACGTAGATGTTCCTTATGGGCAGAAGGTTACGGAGATCTTTGGAATTTGTCCTTTATTCTGTGTTTCCAAAACCATAAGACCATTGTTTTTCTCTCCTTAAGAAGCTCTCTTTTCACTTAAGTGAAGCATCGTGGGGTCCTTTTGGAGTTGAGGAAGTCAGGGGCATTTATGAGAGCACCAGGCGTCACCAAGTCTGGAGGGCTGCCAGAGGTCTAGGACCCACCCCAATGGGAGGCCAGAACCAAGTTGCCAGAGACCACCAGCATCTCTATTAATCTTTCTTTTCTTATACCCCCGATTAGACATACAAGCCTCGTGGGACCAGGGAGATTGATCATCTTCTGCTGGATAAAACCCCCACGCCAAAGACTCAGAATTTTCTGCCTCATACTTGAACCTAGAAAGAACATGGCTGTCAAAAAACAAAAGAAACAAAGAAGACATCCAAAGGTCACCTTGACAACTACTTCAAAAGTTGTTCATATCATCTTGTTTGAATAAAGAGGTTTCTGTTTTCCTTGAAAAAAATCACCATTGTCTCTCTTGTGTGTGTAGGAGTGAGTGAATCAGAGTGAGTGAATCGAGGGTGCTTTCGTTAAGTGGTGACAATCCTGTTTCCTAAAGAATCCTTTTGCAGGAATTATCCTCTCTCAGTATATATTGGAAATCCTACAAATAATGTTTATTCTGTTTAGCAATGACATCAACTTTGGCATTTGGAGTTGTGTGAACAATTCAGCTTGCTGAGAACAGCTATGTCAGATTGTTTGCAATATACAAACACTGAAGGCTGTATAATACAGTAAAGTTTTACCATGATAAGTGTATTTTTAATCTTGCCATGGTCAGTGTATAGCATTGATACTTCAAATGCTGGGGGTCCTAGAAACCGTAACCTTAGAACAGTCGGCATCTTTTACACTCATCAGTGTTTCCTTTTGAAGTACATATTGTTGTTTACCTGAACCATAGATGCCTTTTTTGTGTACATAAAACAGTACTTGGCTGTTGTTGTGGGATACATTTAATTGCCTGAATGTCAAATGTTTACCTTTTTCTGCTTGTACTCCCCAAACCTGTCCTTCAGTATACACTCAGGCTTGGAGCATATAACCTAAACGTGGTTGTCTTTCTGTAGGCACTGGCTGCAGTTGAGGACAGGAGCAGTGCACACAGCTGTACACACATGTACGTATGTACACACGTATATCTGCACACACATGTACATGTGTACACACACATACCTATCTATGTACACACATGCAAAGGATACGACACGCCATGAAACTTGAATGTGTGACTGAGAGGTGTAAAGGACTCTACTTGCCTAAGTCATGGGCCTCACCCAGTGAGCCCTGTGATTGGTCACACTGTTCTATAGGTGACAAACAAAGAAATAGTGTTTTAAGAACAAGACAAAAAACCCTTGAATGCACATTCCTTGTCCTAATGCCAGTGAGCTTTCAGTGTTGAACCACAAATAGTTTAAAGCAGGCCAGTGTTCTTTTTGCTCACAGCTCTTGGATTAGTAAAAGGAGAGAATTATTCTTTGTGACTCCTGATTCTTTGCTCGTCAGAATCTGTATCCTTGTTATCGAGTAGGGTGGGATGTGTCAGGTTTTAAATTATTTTTATATATTAGCCGTTTCCTAAAGAAGTCAGAGACAATCACCCTAAAATGAGTTTTTTCTCTCTTCCATTTTATGATGATGATGATGGTGAGTATGATTATTTATCATTTGATTATTCTACTGGGGGTACACTGTGACATTTACAAACGTTTCTACAATATATCAAAGTTGAATTCACTCCTCCGTCATTCTCCTTTATCTCCTCTCCTCCCATTCCTGGAAGAGTTTCAACAGGTCTCATTTTTCCATTTTCACACATGAGTACATGATATATCCACCATATACACCTCATACTCCTTTCCTTATATCCTCCCCCTCACCGCAACTGTTACCAACCCCCAGACGGGACCTGTTTTACCTTCCTGTTCTCCATTTAAAAAAAAAAGACATTTCTGTTTATTTAAGATGACTATATGGGGAGTTTCACTGCAACATTTCCTTGTAAAATGGATTTCTGGTATTATTCTGTACAAATGCCATGTGTTGAAATGCCCTGTGATAGCTCCCTGTAAATGTGTGCTCTATGAAATAAACTGCATGTTTTGCTTTCATTGTAATAGTAAAACCTGCACTGGTGGTGGTGTAAAGGTGGCACCAATTGTTAACCAGGCAGTGAACACAGGCAACCAGCAAGTTCAATAAATACTGATCAGATCCAGTGATTTCCCTCTTCATCTAGTTGTCCATCAGGCAGAATTCCACTTTTAGGACAAGCAGGTGTGAGTTTTCAAACTTTGGTCTTCTGGCAGCTATTTGAATGCAAAGCAGAGTGATCTTGATCTACCGGGCTCAAGCAGTACTTCCTCTGAGCTAGTAGCTCTTCCTTGCCAAATCTGGCACCAGATGCTGTTGATCCATCTGTTGGAACTGTGGACGTGGGTGTTCTTTTCACAACTCCAAGGTGATGATGCACGGATGACACGTGCAGAAATTTCAGATGCTCAGGGTTCTTGAGCCTGCTCTGGGGATGAAAACACAGGTGGACTCCAACAGCAGAGGTCGGAAAGATTTTATTTGTAGAGAAGAGAAGAGATAGACTGCATATTGGGGAATGCAGGGGGACCCAGAAACCCGTGAGGGAAAACCCGTTAGGGGGAAGTTTAGGGTAAGTTTCTGAGCTACAAGCACTAGAAGGCTTACTGCGGCCATTGCTCTGAGGCATCCTGGCCTTCCCTTGGCTACCTGATCTAACTCTTTGCTTAAGTAACCTACTGACTGGGGAGTGATGCCCCAGAGTTGAGTCACCACTCCTAAGGCCAGTCCTCCCTTTTCATAGACATATAATTGAAAGTTCTCTTGTACTGGGAGACCCAGGACAGGAGCTGTTATATAAGAGCCTTTTTTAACCTGTGGAATGCATTTTCTGACTTCTCATCCCACTCAATAAAGAGCTGGGTTTCCTTCTGTGCTTCCTTAAGGATTTGATATAAGGGCCTGGCTAGGTCTGCATAGCCCAGGATCCAAATTCTACAGTATCCTGTGACCCCTCCCAAAAAAGGCCCTCAATTGCTTTAGAGTTTTAGGTAGAGGAAACGTCAGGATTGGACGGATTCTGTCTTCTCCTAGAGACCTCATTTCTTTCTCCAGGACAGGATCTAAATATGTAACCCTAGACTGACACAATTGGGCTTTTGCTTTAGAGATTTTATAACCTCTATCTGCTAAGAAGTTTAGTAAGGACTCAGTGGCTCCTGAAATGACAGGCTCATTTGGTGCACAGAGCAGGAGGTCATCTACATATTGTAGCAGAGTAGCTTGTGGATATTGCCATTCTGCCAAGTCATGGGTTAGAGTTAACCCAAAGAGGTGGGGGCTGTCTCCGAATCCCTTGGGGAGGACAGTCCATGTGACCTGTCCAGACTTTCTTGTGGGGTCCTCAAAGGCAAAGATAGGTTGGCTTTTAGGGTGTAAGGGAATGCAAAAGAAGGCATCTTTTAAATTGA